ACCTTGGCCTGCCGTCTTGAAGGCCCAGACTCCGTAGGGCTGACCCAAAGGCGCTCCTGAAAGACAACAAAGCGACAAGCATGGATGTGCTCTTGGACCACAGCATTTCTCACCGAAATTTCCTGTCCTCCTCTTTTTTCGTTCCCCTTCTCCCCTCCTTCTTTAGCCAAAATCTAGATTTTCCTCTCCCCACCCTTCCTCTCTCCTCTTTCATTACTGTATCTTCCCTTTATCTTTTCTCATCAATCGTTCTTTTCCCCACATAAATTCTAACTTTGGATTCCTTCCTTCCTTCCTTCCTTCCTTCCTTCCTTCCTTCCTTCCTTCTCTATCTTTCCTCCTCTTCCCCCGTTCAATTTACAGTTTCTCTGTCTTCCTTATGCTCTATAATCTTTCTGTCGTTCACCCAGGAAAACAGAATAACGAGATTTAAACTGACTGCTTGCAGCCCCCTTCCTAAAGCAGGGATTTTGTGCCCAGGTGCTACTCGGCTAAACCCACAGACTGAAGCCCTCTTTAAATACCCTTGACTTGCGTGGAAGTTGCGGGACCTTCAGCGAATCCCAGGTCGCCGCCTAAATACTCATTTAAGCGTGTTACGGGTCAGATCGAGCTAGCCTGGTCAGGAGGCCGCTAGAGCATTTCAATCTGTCTGCTTATAAGGAGAATTCGTGTTCTCAGCCAGGAAATCCGAGAGAGAGATTCTGAAAAGCCAAAACACTGGTGGTTTCGGACTTCGGGTCTCCTGATTGATTGATTTTTAAATTCCTTTCGCCGTAGTCACCCTCTGTTGCTTCCCGTGGCCCTCGCTTGCAAGATGCTGTCTTTAGGATCCGAGTCGGAGGGAAAGCACAGATCGCACGAAGGAATGATCGGTGGGTGATTCGCAGCAGGGCCTGCATTGATGGAGACGGTTGCAAAGGAGACTGTGCGGGGGGCGCGGGGGGGGGGGCTGATCCTTAACAGATCGGGTCTGCCAGGCAGGTTTTGTGTAAATAAACCAACAACGTCCGAGAGGTTTGGGCTGCACCTTCTTGGCAGGCACGCAAATAAATAAGCGCCGGAGATTGGCGTGGGACGTGAAGAGGCCCTCGGCCTGGGAGCCCAGATAAGGGAAGGGGCTCTTTCCCCTTGAAGTCCTCCAACGGGCGGCTCCTGCGATCCATATCTCTGGGAAGTCTGGCCGCTTTTCGCCCTGCCGCCTGGGCGCCCTGCTTCTTACCCCGGGAGGTACAAGGGAACCGATTGCAGTGGTTCACCACAGGGCAGTAATACATGTCTCCGATCCGAGCTTGGAAATGTCTGAAGGCTGAGCGATTTGGCTCGATCAAATGGAGACGCGAAATGTCTCCGACTGGGAACTGTCAGTCCAGCCCTGCAACGCCCACATTTGTGAAGAAAATCCGGCATCCAAGTCCAAGCGGGTGTTCTCTCGTCCTTTCCTCTGCAGCAAACAACGCTAGATCTCAGCCGAGATTTTTGCATCCTTTGGCACAACCTCGAACCGGATGCCGCACGACCCCGAGTCTAAAACCCGGGGATCTGCCTTGCCTTCCCCTTGGAAGGGAAAACTGAATTGTCTCGCTAAGTGGAACATCAGATTCTACGCCTCTCTTTGCATAGCACATTACTGGGAAGGAAGCGCCGCCAGAGACAGCGCGGCTGATTTTCAAATACATACACTTAGGATGGGGCCAGACAGATGGGGTACGGATCACCCACCCAACTAAATAAATAACATTAAAATTGGACATACTCTTCCAGTTCTGAGCATGTTTACCCGGAAGCAAGCCTCAGTGAGGTCAAAGAAACTCACTCCCACGCAAGTGCTTCTCATAGAAAAGCCATTTTAAAGCCTCAGCTGGTAAATCGGATTAAAGTCAAATGCAGGGATTTACCCTTGGTCCCGATCGGGCTCGGACTTCCCCATTCCGAGGGCTCTCCTGACAGTCATTCTTCACATTAATTGAGTGCAATCCAGCTGCCATTGAAAACCATGGACAAAAAAAAAAAAGTATCCGGCGACTGTAAATAAATGGAAGTCCCCTTCAATGCAGTACATAACCGCATTAGAAGAGTGCTATCCAAAATTATGAGGGTCTTGGATTTAAATAATGTTGCAATATTACTTGCAAGTTCCATTCTTTCTCCCATATTTTTCTATTTATAGAATTGCTTTACTACTATTTTTTTTTCTGGTTAGCTTTGCCCAGTCCCAGATTGGGTTCCGTTCGGCGTGCATCCACACAAACACAAGCATCAACACACGCTTAGTTCCAGCGCGGGTCTTCTGTCTCTCTTGTTGATCTTAGCCTCACAAGCCTCGGCCTGTTATTCTGATTCCAACTTATCCTAAAGTAACCCCGTGGTGCCCCCCCCCCCCCCGGTGGTGGTGGTGGTATTTGGCTAGAGGGCCTTGGCTGCTGCAAATAGCAATCCTCTTCCGCGCTATTTGCATCCTTTTAAAGATCCTTTTAAAGATCCTGGGGCCAAACTAGCCAAAGTCGGTCTTCGGCTGCGATTCTACATATTTTTTTACTCGATGGAAGATCCCACTGAATGAAGTCAGGGGGGTTTACTTCCAGTTCGAGGAAGAGTGTACAGAGATGTTCTCCTTTTTGTCTGCCTGTAACCTCCGCTGCGGTTCCACCGGGAAGTGAGCTGGGCCCCGGATGGCGTCTCTGTATTTCCAGTGGCCCAGCACACCTTCCTTCTCACCTTGTTCTCCAAACTCGAAGAACTTCTGAAAGGGGAGGGGGGTTTCTACCCTTTGCAAACCACCTCCTGAGCGTCCTGAGCTCCAGTCGCCAATAAGTCGGGTCGCAGGGATTTCATGCCAGCTTCAACCCGGGAAAGGGCGCCGTCTTCCCTTCAGGTATCCCTGTATCGTTTGCTTGAATCGACTTGAATCTTTCTGGAGCTGCGTCCTAAGGTGCCGCCGGCCCCGCCCGTCCTCTAGCCTGTGCCTGGCCTTTGAATATTTGGGGAAGGCGACAGAATTTCTTGGCGCAAACTTCCTACCGCCTTGTGACCAGTTTTTCCTGGGCTCCTTTTCCAGATTGCAATGTGTTCAACACACAAAATCCTATCTCTATATCTCTTGGCTTTCAGCCGGGCCTGCCTATTAAACATCTCTTTAACAACTCCCTGCCCATAAGTGAAACCCGTTTCCTTCAAGATGTCTGGGCATTCCGGTGGTGTTTTTTTTTTTTTTTAAACTATCAGTATCATGATTATTGGCGAAACAAGAGAAACGCCGAGAGATCTTTATATCTTGGTTAACAGAAACGAGAATAGAAGCTCTCGACATGCTGTTAAAAAGATTCAGTTACTTACCTAACTGGGCGGGCTCAGGCAAGGAGAAACTGGTTTGATGTAGGGAAAGTGTGAACACCAACGGAGCTGAAAGAAAACGATTTGGATTGAGATAGCTTTGTCTTAAGCAGTCATTTCCTCCTCAAAGCCCACTCTGGCGGAGGCAAATTACTCTGTCTTATAACCAATAAAGGTTTTGTTTCATTTTTTCCCCCTATAGGTAAACGGAATCGAATTACCCGAAATAAATCCTATACACACAAGTATGTCTAGTTCGGAGTCAAGTGGATTGCGGAGGAAAATCCATTAATAGGGCTCATTAACAATCCAGTAACCTGTGCATGTATATTACATAGGCACAGCCAGAGACTATTTCACCGACCTACCAATTTACATTTACTTGAAAGTTATTATCGTCTTTCTTCAGGGAAATCTATTTCCAAGCTAGTTGTAGTGAATGGCAATCTTACCTAGGGAACTACTACTAATAAGAATCCATTTTAACCTGCAATTAATATAGATAGATAGATAGATAGATAAGATTAAAATTGGAAAATTAATGAAACAAAACAGCAGTTTTAACTAGAAACATTATTGCTACTATTAATGTTGTTCCGACATACAAAGAACTAGTATATGTTATAGTTCTGCAGGCATTACTGGGCAATATATAGGCACATATGCATTCTTGCCTTATATTATTGGTCGTGTAATTATAGCTCATGCATATCTTCGGAGTCATACTACACTAGAACTGAGATGAACACATACAGATATATACATATACATATATATATACATACATATACATACCCACACACATAAACATACTTACAGCAAAGCATTGTTAAATACTCGCATTAACCTCTGTCTGTGCTGGAAAGGGGGGAGGGCTTTCCCTCGTTTGTTTTAATTATATTACGGATAGGAACGGCAGCCAATCCAAGAAGAGAAGCTGCACAATTAGCAGCACGAAGATTTTTAAAAAAGTTTTATGGCCCAGTGCGGGACGCTCCGCCCCCGGTGCAGCGGATTGGCCGGGAGAGCCTCTGACGACATATATTAACCCGAGCTGCCCTAAAGATGTAGCTGTACATGGAGATCAGGCTAGGAAATCCGAGCAGCGTCCCGCGCCTCGCCGCGCCTGGAAAGCAACCGGAGCCTTCCTTGCCCCCCGCCGCCGCCGCCTTCGCCCCCCGTCCTCTTCCTCGTCGGTGGTGTCTCCAGCCGAGCAGGACAAGTCACGGAGTCCCCCCCTCCGGAGCGGGCTGTCTGGGTTTGGTCCGCCGCCGTTCAGGGGGCGGGAGAAGAGAATGGGCGCCCTCCTGCCTTGAGCCCAAGACGCGTCCGCCGTCCCGGGAGGAGAAGCGACTGCACAGGCCTCCTTCGGAAACGGCCGGGCCAAGTGGGGAGAAAAGGCAGGTGTGAGTAAGCCTCCCCCCCACCACCCCTAAACTTTCATCGGAGACGAGCAGATCGGCCAGGAAGGACAGCCGGGGAAGAGCTCCTCTGGGGAAGGGAGCCCTGCTGCGGTGCGGTGCGGGAGGGAGGGAGCGAGCGAGCGAGCTGCTCCCCGGTCTCGAGATTTCTCTCCGGCCCCCGGCAGCGTCTGCCTCCCCCTCCTCCGCCGCCGCATGACTGCGGAGGGAGGCCCTGATCCTGCCTGCGGGGGCCTGGGGGGACCGTGCGGCAGCCAGCCTATGGCGAGCCCCCCCGGGTGCTAAGGCCGAGCGGGGGCCGTGTGCTGGGGAGGGGAGAGCCAGGGGCCCGGCGATGAGTCTGGTGGGGGGCTTCCCGCACCACCCGGTGGTCCACCATGAGGGCTACCCCTTCGCCGCCGCCGCCGCCGCTGCCGCCGCCGCCGCCGCCGCCGCCAGCCGCTGCGGCCACGAGGAGAACCCCTACTTCCACGGCTGGCTGATCAGCAGCCACCCGGCCGAGATGTCGCCGCCCGACTACAGCATGGCGCTCTCCTACAGCCCCGAGTACGCCAACGGGGCGCCGGGCCTGGAACACCCGCACCACTACGCGGGCGGCGTGGCCCCTCCGGGGAGTGGCGGCGGGCCGCCGGGCCTGGGGGGCGGCCCTCGGCCGGTCAAGCGCCGCGGCACGGCCAACCGCAAGGAGCGGCGCAGGACTCAGAGCATCAACAGCGCCTTCGCCGAGCTGCGCGAGTGCATCCCCAACGTGCCGGCCGACACCAAGCTCTCCAAGATCAAGACCCTGCGCCTGGCCACCAGCTACATCGCCTACCTCATGGACCTCCTGGCCAAGGACGACGCCAACGGCGAGGCCGAGGCCTTCAAGGCCGAGATCAAGAAGACCGACCTCAAGGAGGACAAGAGGAAGAAGGAGCTGGTCAGTACCGCCGCCGCCGCCGCCGGGGAGGGGAGGCGGGAGGGAGGGAGGGCGCAGGGCGCACGCGGACACTTCGGGCGCAACCCCTCTCTCTGCCCCCAAACGCCTGCCTGCCGCGCACCGGGACCAGGCCTGGCTTCCAACGAGCAGCCCGCGCCATGCACGGCATGATGTTGAATTTGGTGCCCAGGGGGTTTACTCCCGGCCCACCACAAGGCCTCTATGTTCGCCGCACTGAGCTCTCTGGGAATGCGCTTCCGAACAAAATGCCTCTCACGCTCGAGCTGCGGCGTGGAAGCCCGGCCTTCAGTGGTCCAAGCCGAAGACACCGGCATTTTAATTAGCACCGGCATTTTAAACACATTTACTTGGATGCAAATGGTACCTTTTCTACCGGGCAGAGGCCGCTTAATGGTATCTGCGCCGTTGGCGTTCGTTCCAGGCTACTGAGATATGGAACTCTCAGTCTGATCCATGCACTTATGCACACGACCATGCTGAACACGTGAATTACTCCCCTATCCACTATCTGGATTGCGTTTTCCCAGTCGAGAAAGTGAGGAACTGTTTTGGGTTTTTTTAGACACTCTGGCTCTTTGCGTGGAAGGGAGATTTTATCACCCGAGAGTACTTATTTGGAAAGAAGGCTTTGTCTTTAATATATAGATATATGCATCAGGCTCTCTTCTTTAATATATATCACACACATACATACATATATGGATGGATGGATAGATAGATTAGAGTGAGTCCTAGGGAGAGGAGTCGCCAGCAGGAGCCACCTCACCTGGGTAAGCCGAGGCGTCAGGCGGTGTGTGCAGAGTCTTCTTCCAAATTGCCCGCAGAATGCCTCATCCTTACAGGAAGTTAGACAAAACGACTCGGGAATGAAGGCCCATTGTATGAAAGGCCCTCTTGAGGTACGCCTCGACTTGCCGTTAGTGCCCGGGCAGGTGACCTCCAGCTCCCAGGAAGCGTTTCCGAGGCCAGGAAAAGCGACCCATGGGCGGAGCAGAAGCCGATCCAGAGAACTCTGGTCCCCCGGGCCATTGCTGGGGCCAGGAGCCCGCTGCCCTCGTGCCCTGAGGGGCGGCCCAGAGAATTCTTTCGGGTCTGAGAGGCAGCTCCTTGAGATAGGGAAAGCCATCTCCCTATAAGATTAACGTGTTTTTGTGTATCGAAGTCCAGAGGTTTGAATTCAATTTAAATTTTTAAAACCTCCTCAGATCTTCCTTCCCTAATTTTGTGGACTGGACTGCTCTGCGGGTTGAAGGTATTTAGACCCCAGTCCACAAGGCATCGATACCATTCAGACCGGTTTAGGACTGACCCAAATGTATTAAATTGTGGGTTGAGGCCCTTAGCCGGGCAATGCAGACCACCTTCTCCGGCTGAGATCTTACCGTTCTTCACATAAATTTCAAAGGGAGATCGGCGATGACATATTCTGAAAAAGTCCTCAGGAACGCAAAGCCCCGCAAATCGCGGGGAAAGCCTAGCGCGAGGATTTCGGCATGCCTGCCCAGTTGCCGAGTTCAGATTCATGGCAGAGGGGGTTGGTTGGCTTGTGTTGTTTTATTTCGGCCGCGGCAATGCTGCCGTGCAAGCGGCGAACCTCCCCTCCGGGATCCCCCAGTCATTAAAGCCCTGCTGATTTCACTGCGGCTAACTTCCAGAGTGATCTCCCCGCTTTCAAGCTTGCGCCTACACAGTTCGCTTCCACCTCTTTTCCCAGGTAGGGTGTGAGACGGAAATTGGGCAGGTCCTGCTGTTTCCTCAGCAACTTTCTAAAACATTGACCGCCTGGAGGAAGCTGAACGCTTGGAAAGGATGGCGGAGGAAAGGAAGTTAGCAGAGACTGGGGGGGGGGGTGAAGCTTTAATTTCAGCCCGGTTTTGAGGGGTCACATCCTGCGGTGCGGGCTCACAAACGCACATCCAACTACAATTCTGTCCCTAGTTAGACGCCAGTGATTTGCTCTCAGGCTTGGAATCAGTTGAGTTTGAATCAATAGAGCATCAATCACCGGGCTAGGAGAACACGAGCGGCTTGAGTCGAAAAGCCATGGGAAGGCGCCTACCAGGCAAACCGTTTCAGGGCAGCCGAGCTGGTCGGCGGTAGAAGAGGAAGACTCCAGCCCAGTAGCGCATTTGAGGGCAACAAAACCTCCCCCAAGTGTAAGCTCTGGAGAGTCAAAGCTCCCTTCACCAGATAACAAAATAAAAAGCCTCCCGGGAGTCGAGGTTGAAATAGGTGCCCCGCGTTCTGTTCCTACACAGGCTAGTTTGGAATCCACTCCTTTGAGATCCTCTTTTCAAGTCGGTGTTTAGGATCGGAGCCCCTGAAAATTCCTAGAGATTCTCTGGCACCAGATTGTGTTTTTTGTTGTAGTTTTGTTTTAACCTCACACTTAGGCTCTCCCACCTTTGGGAGTGGGAAGCACATTTTTCGGGGAGGGCTTGTCATGGAAGGGCAGGAAGGCCAAGAATCCCCTTCCGAAGAATGCCGAGCCTTGTGTCTGCTGCCACTCCTGCAGCCCAATCTGTGCAGCAGCAGGCATGGCGCAGATCAATGAACCACCCCATGAGGGACAGTTAAAGTGTGCTGCGCAGATGTGAGGGGAATGATGGGTGTATTTAGGCAGTCATGTGGAGGCTGCTTTATTGTGCAGCAGACCCGGCGCTGACTTAGAACCATTTTCCCGACAGCCTGTGCCCTGAACGTAGCTGTAACTCTGGCACTGCGCCCCGGATGCGTAGAGATAACAGGCGTGTAGCATGCCCTGTGGCCGGAGGGCTGTCGTCTTTAGGATGCTAGAAAGTCATCCAGCCGGTGCGCTTTTACATCTCTCCCTGTTACCCCAAACAGCTTCCCAACACATTCGATCCCAGGGTCTTTATCCTAAAAACTCTTCCCCACGGCCAAGCGCCATTGAACTAGACCTGAGTAGGATTCTGTGTAGACCTGCCTCTTGGTGTGGATCTGGCACGCCTGGTCGTGGGTCAGGCCGATTCCGAAAGCCCTTAAACCGGAGCTGTGCCTACGTCATAACAAAGGCAGCGCGGGTAGGCCGCTTTGATTTCATTCACGCTTTGGTTTCCCTCCGGCTTAACGGCTTTGGTAGATTTCTCCTGTCTTTGCGAAGGAGCCGGTTCTACCAGCCGAAACGTGGCTCTCCGCCCTGTCTGCAGGCTGTTCCAGCGCGATCCTACTGCCTGCTCGAGGTTTGCACTGTGAGAAGATCTGGGCAAAAAGACCTGCTCAGATCTCCCCACGAGATTTCTGTGGCTGTTCGTCTGATTCTGGGGCCAAAGGGGCGCGCGGGTGGGACCTTTCAGACACCCACACACACACCCCTCCCAGCAGGGCCAAGAGATAATCCCTCGGTGTCTCCTCTTCGCCTCCTCTCTCAACAGAACGAGATCTTGAAAAGCACCGTGAGCGGCAACGACAAGAAGACCAAAGGACGGACTGGCTGGCCGCAGCACGTGTGGGCTCTGGAGCTCAAGCAGTGAGCGCCGCGCGAGGCCTGGCCGAGAGAAACCCGCGGAGGACTCGGAGCCCGCCGACCAAGGACGCCTTGGCGACGGCGGCGGTGGTTTGGGGATCGTCTGGTTTATTTATGTGCAATTTCCCTCCCCTAATCTCCCCCTTTCAAATGTGGATCTTGGAAGGAAAGCATTCCGTAACTGAATAGATGAAGAGGAACACTCCGGCGTGGTAAGGGGTGATGTGGTCTCCATCGTTTTATATATATATCTATCTATTTTTCCCCAGTGAATGTTATTTTGCTTTGTTTGTATAGAACACAGGGGACAAGGGGGGGGGGAGCAAATCTCGCAGTGTGGGTGTGTGTCTGTGAAGTGTATCTCTCTTTGTTCCCTGCCCTCTTTGTGAAACGCGTGGGAGGGAAGTCCAGAAGGAAGCCGTCGCCCCCAGCCCCCCGAGGCGTCGTTCCCTGGGTGGGGTCGGGACGGCGCTGTCGCTGTTTCCCTCCTGGTCTTTCCATAGTTGGCAGAGGTTTCCCGCAGCTCCTTCTTAATGTGCACTTCGGTCCTTGAGGAAGCAAAAAACAGTTACAATTAGAAAAGTACCGTGGAGTGGAATTGATATTTTGAATGGTGTAAACGCTGTAACTATTCAAATAAACCACTGTGTGTGTTTTTTACTAAACGCAAATCGTCCCTCGTCTGCCTCCGTAGATACCTTGTTATGGCGCAGGCACCAGGTAGAAAGAAGTTACTGATATGATCTTGCCCACATGCAGGCCACTGAACAGACCTCAGTAGGATCATAGGAGACGTGCTTAGGATGGCGCTGTTCCTAGCGCAAGTGCCCTCTAAGGGCGCCATCTTCTTATACGCCGTTACTTGGAAGGGCTTTCCTGAACTCGCTGGGATTTACTTCTGAGAAACTACGTGCAGGGGACGGCGCTTGAAGTTTCTTTTTTCAAGAAAGAGGGCTAGACCAAGAGTAGGAGGAAAAACCGGGGAAAGAAGATATCTTTTGGGGAGGGGGCTGCTACTCCCATCCTAAGCACATTTACTCAGAAGTAGCTTGCATCCAAACCAAGAGAAAAGGCTGCCCTTACATTGTGCTAACGTCATATGTATTGGTTTCTAATATATATTTAGACAGAAATACAGCATTGGGTCAAATTCGAAGCAAGGTTTGCTTGTGTGTGTGTGTGTGTGAGTGTGTGTTTTCCTGGCGAGAAGATCTGTTTATTTTTGACGGAAACGGGGATAATTTGCAAGGTCTCTCTAAAAGCATTTGGAAGTTACAGACGTGGAAAGAGAAGGGATGCTACCAACGAGAGCTAATTCTGTTTTGCTCTTGTTTTCTTCCTGCTTCCCAAAGCGAGCCGTTTTCTCCCTCAAGCTTTTCGTCTCACAAAGGGCGACCGCTCCGGCAGGGCGCTGCGCCGAGCGGGCCGCGACGTGGCCTCGCCCCTGCCGGGTGGTTTGGCTGGGGGCAGGCCGGGGTAGCTTTAGAGCCTGGGCAGGAGCGATTATGTAACCAGTAATTGTACTCCAAGTAGGAAACGGCGAGCAAGCGAGGGAGGGGGAGAGTAAGATTTACTATTAGAAACGGTGGCCTTCCTGTTGACTTTGTGGTTCCCAGAAAAGCCCTCCTGGGCCGCACTTCCCCCATTCCCGGCGACCAGCCCCTCTCTAATCCCGCCCTGGCAAAAGCCGGAGATCTGGACCCGGTAATGGTTCTAACGGGGGGGGGGGGGAGAAGAGCTTGGCTCCGGCCCCGCAACCGCACGGGGGCCAAACAGCCCCAGCTCCAGCTCTCCTCGACTCGCCTCCCCCACGCCTGGAGATTGACTCGCGGCCGCCTCCCGGCCGCCTTTTCGAAGCCCCGCCAGGCCAGTCGGAAGCCGAGGACCGGGTCGCGCGGGGGGGGGCGCTTTAGCCCGAGTCTCTCTGCCGCGCAGTCCCCAGGTTTTAGTAGTCTCTCTTCGCCTGGGATTCGGCCTTTAAAGAGAGAGAGAAAGGGCCTGAAAGAGGCTCTTTGGCTTAGGATGCAAACCTAACCATGTGGTGCATTGAGCTGAATAGGAAATAGCTCCCTTCCCCCCACCCCATTCCGCCCCCAGAAAGTTTTCGGTGCTTAAAGAAAGGGGTTTTCCAGGATTTCCAGCTCACGTGTTTATTTCTTCAGCGCCTCCCCCCCGTCTATCCTGTACCTGGGAATCCACCTCTGCTTCCCCACCACCACCACCAATGTTTCGATATGCTGCTCGCCGTTTAAGTGGCTTGCTCCCGACGGGCTCTGACAACGAGAGAGGCTGGGTTTCCTTCCCACTGCCCATAAAAAGATAAGCAGCGGCCCTCGACACCGTCAGCCAGGCCTCCCTGGCCATGGGAAGGTTGAGGGGTTACAACAACTGGGCCAGCAGGACGTGCCCTCTCCCGGCCTCGGGGTCAGGCGGCTTGGGCCGGGGCAGGCCCGGGCGATGGTGCTGAAAGAAACAGCCTCTCGGTCCCCCTGATGGTCACTCCTGCGGCTGAAGGCCCCGCGCCCTGGCCGGTCCAGCCCCAACGCGGGTTCTGGTCGAAGGCTCTGGGCTCTAGCTCGGACACCGGACGGCGGAAGGGGCGGGCAGCACACCCACACGCCTTTGGCCCCCTATTAGTAGCCCCTTCGGTCTGGGCTCGGGGCGGGTCGGCGGGATGTGCCTCCAGGTCTCCTGTAGGTGGAGGAGGGTGGCCCCGTGGGTCGGAAGTCGAGCAGTCCGCCTGGAAGCCAGTCGCGTCTTCGAAACCAACCAGGTTCCCAGGCGAGGGGCTTTCCAGAGCCAGAGGCCGACTCGGGAGCTTCGACTCTCAAAAGTTCCTACCCGCAAAACCTTGTGGGTCTCTAAGGTGCTGCTGGACTTAAGCCGGCTTCTTATGCTATGTTTCCTACAGTAAACTCCACGCTTCCCTCCAGGCTTCTAGAAGATCGGGACATTTTATTTCCCCTGCTTGAAGTGATTTTTTTAAAAGTAGGATTAGGATATAGGTGTTCCTAGCTTGCCTTTTTTTTTTTTTTAACTTAAACTCTTTTATTTTTTGAAACGCCCATTTCTCAAACTGCAGAAGAGAAATCTGTGCCTGGCTACTCACAGAGTGCAAACTCCAAAGAGCCAGGCTCGCTCTACCTGCAGGGTCTCGGCAGGAGGGCCGGTGGGCACAACGAGGCTGGACTTCCAGAGCGGTCTCCTGAGGGGTGCCGGCGGTAGAGACCCAGCCGCAGGACCGGCAGGAAAATGACTTGTGGATTAAGCTTAGACGGGGGGATGTCAATGCATGTATAGATAAGTATTCCTTATTGCATTTTTAGTAGGCCTGAAAGATGAGAGACAGAGTTGGCACCGGCGACAGGATGGGCAAGAGCCAGCCTTTTAAAAGGCCAAAGGCCGGTCAGACGGACGAGGAAGGAGTGATTTGCTGGAATAACAGGCGTGGGTGGTGGTGCCCGTTTGTGGATGAAGCCCTCAGTGGGGCTTCCCAGCCGGGCTTTTAGGATGCATGTGAGGTCCCCATGGGGCAGGAGAGCACCCCGTATTTGCCTGGCAGATGCCAATGATCCCGGATGTCGCATAAGGTCCTAACAAGAATAAATCCCATTGTTTTCAACGAAACTCACTCCCAAGCGAGTAGGCTTCTGCTCCTAACTTCTCCTCCCCCCCCCCCAGCTTTTTGGAGGGCTGGGGACCGTCCATGGGCGGGGGCGGGGGATGGGTCCGGGTGAGGCGAGGAGAGAGATGGGGAGCGGGGGAGCGAGGGGGGGGTCCCTTTTAATTGCTCGGTAATAGGACTGTGGCTATTTTCTCAGGAGCAATCATTCCTGGAGCTAAATCGCAAGAGCCCTAGACAGGCCGGAGCCGACAAAAATGTAGCTTTTGACGTTAAAAGCTAAATGGGGAAGTGGGGCGGTGGAAGGTAAATTGATGGCCGATTGGGATGTCAGGAGGCCTGGCCCCGGATCGCCGGCCTGGAGCTGCGGCCCTGATAAGCTCCCTCCCGGCCCGGGCGCGCTGCTGGGCGCTTCGGCCAGCCACAGGCCGGCCTCTGGGGGGGAAGAGCCTGGCGGGCAAGAAATCGCGCCCCCCCCACCCCCCCCACGCTCGGTGATAACCGCCCGGCAGTGAGTGCCGCAGGGAGGGGAGAGATAGAGGAGGCCTGAGAAAAGAGCCGGATCCTGGCCCCTGGCCGGCGCCCTGGCCTGTCATTGCTCTCCGGCTGGCGCGGCCGACTGGGTAGGTCGTCTGGGAGGAAAACGGAGGGAGGAGCCCCTGCCAAGCAGGGCCTGGGGGAACAGGAGGCTGAAGCCCCGCCGGCCCCTGCGAAGCCGGCGGGGTGGCTGTCCGAGAGAGCCCAGGGCGATGGCAGGCCGATGGGGCAGAGGATCGGGGCCCCGGGCTGGTGGTCCCCTGAGCCCGGTGCCTGGAGCTTAGTCCCTCCAAGGGGAGGTAGCCCTTCTTGGGACTCGGAGCCTGCGGCTGCCCCGACGGGTCTTAAGATGAGGCGCCACGGAGGGGCCGAGATTCTCTCTTCGAGGCATTTCCACCGCCTGCCTTTCTAACCGAAGCGCAGAGCCAAGCCCCTGATGGGTCCGAATGGGGAGAGGCCCCCGTGCAGCTTCCTTGGGAGTAGATTTCGTTGCATGCGGGTGGGATTTGATTCCGAGTAAGAAGGCCCAAGGACTGAACTGCTGCCCGCCATTCATTTGGCGCTGTGTTGGGAACAAGGGGCATCTTCCCAAGTAGCTGGGGTCAGCAGTGTTCCCTTTAAGCTGAGTTAGTGTGGGCTAACTCACAGGTTTTTAGCCTCCCGCTCACACATTTTTATCTTAGTTCAGGAAGGATGGCTCCAGAGCAAACTAATCGATGCAGTAGCCAAATCGCTCACTCTCAGCTTTAGTGCCAGTAGCTCACCAAGTAGAATTTGTGCTCACCAGACTCCACACCCTAGAGGGAGCATTGGCTGGGGGTGGGGTCGCCGCAGGCAAAAGCCTAGCTAGAACCGACTGCATATTTTAAAAGGAAATCTTAGCACGTCGGGTACTCATTAAAAGATTTGCAGACAGACATCGTCAACGTGCTCTGATTTTGGAAAGGTATGACCATGCTCTTTAAAACCCTAATTCTTGAGTGGAA